TGATTTTAAACATTTATTAAAGTAATAGTACATTGTGTAACAATAGTTTTATGAAAAATATATTAATGTTGAAATTTAAATACCTTAATATTTATTAAATAATAAGTAATTATGAATAAGTAGAAATAATAAGTAAAGTAACTACAGATTTATTGCTTCTTAATCAATTAGATGGGTGTGCCTGGTGATTTCTTGCAAGATTCGCTATATTGGGTTCAAAATTGGTCAATTTTAATTTTCGTAAAAAAATACAAAGTGTGCTATACTTTTGTCGCTGGTTGTATTAATCCATATTATAAATGCTTACCCTCTTTTTTTTACATGCATTGATAATTAAAGTTGATATCTAAACTAAGCGAATGGTTTTTATCGAAATAATAACTAATTATCCAAAACTTTAAAATTTTTATGAATGACACTGCAAATATTCAGCACTGTTTACAGTTTACAAACTGCCCGTGACATTTGCGTTTGTAACGTCAATGTTCGTCACACGTGACATTTGGACAAGCGCACATATGCATCTGACTTATAAACTGTGCTGAGTTCGTGCCACTGCTCGCTGATACGTAAATACTTGTTTCAACCGATACGTTTATTAATTTATGTTTTATAAAGAAACTGATTTTAAGTCANCGAAATTTCTGCTCTGTTACAATCGTACCCTGTTACAATTGACCCCACTCTCCCCTATAGTGTGCTACCTTTTTTTTTAAAAAAAAAAAAAGTAGTGCAGTTAGTAGTGCAATACAAAAAACGGTAGTTTGTAGCAATTCCTGGCAACTACTTTTTACGTTAGTTTAATATATGAACAGGATTCTAACACAAATCATTTTTTGAATTCGATGGGTACAAATCTTCGCGGGTCTGTCAATGGACAATGCCCCTTTCACTGTGAGTTAACAAGAATTGTGTATTTGGAGTCACGTATAACTAATATTTAAGCTAGCCAATATAAATAATAGATCATTTATCAATTTAGTCGCACTTTCACACGCGAATGAATATTGAAGCATTGATGTTATTTCAAAAGAAGGGAACCTATTTTAGACGCACTTAATTCCGTAGAAGTAATAAAAGAACACTTCACGAAATGGCAAGTATTGGATAATTTCCTAGCATTTCTTAAATTAAATATTCGCTGTCTAGAAGGGCATAAAAAATTGAAGATAAAATGAACAAATTCGAATAAAATGTTTTGGAATAACAAACTGTCTCACGTAACTAAGAATTTCTTAATAATTCTTCATGTTTAATATAAGCCAATTTTTTTTTATTCAAAACCATTATGAACATAATGTGTAAGTCAATTTATCCAGCAGTGCAAATTATACAGGTGTAAAATAATTTCTCCAGCAAAGTTCGGTTCCTTTAAGTAGTGAAGAAGTTATTACATTTCGAAAGTAATTTGTAATTAATACATTAAAAAAGTAGTTATAGTTTACTACATTTGTAACAAAGTAGTCGTAATAAACTACAAAAATATTGTAGTTTTTCCAACCACTGATATAATGCTCCGGGATAGGAACTTGGTTCGTATTGTATTAGTCAATCTGAAAGGCAGGTGAAATTAGATAAAGTTAACCTGTGGCGTAGCTATCACTATAAATATTAAATACTAAGTAACTAGTATATAAAACATGTTATCTTGATTCTTCTTCGAGGTACATTCGATAAAAATATGTTGTTCCAAGTTATTTTAGGTTTAGTATTTATCATTTTAAATAATTTTTACACTACTACTTATCGAAAATTCTATATATCATATCAAATGCAACTTTGTTAAACTATACTCGTGGTTACTTTTTTAAAAAGTAGGCGTATTTATCCTTATTCTACGTGTTTTACTATTTAATAAGTTACCACTTTATTAAAACTTCTACAGAAAGCGGAGCAGTTGGCATCCCTAAGTCAAAGATTGAATTCCCCTCATCGTCAACCGCCGAACGTGATATGAACTTGCCAACATTGATGGATAGTCCACATTAAACAGTTGGTTTGCTTAATAATACTGCTCAAAGAAAGAATAAAAAAACCGGTGAAGTAAATAAATTCTTCCGGTTAAATAATGAGCAAATTGACATAATTATTATTGAAGAAATATTATTGACGAAATATTAATACGACGAAATATAATTGAAGAAATATTATACCCCGGTTATTGAAGAAAAATAATGAGCAAATTGACATAACCATAAATGAAAGGGGGGAAATGAGCGAAATGTACTATAAATAAAAAATGAAGGATGAATAAATAAATTAGAGAAATACTCTAAAAACAAAAAAATAATGAGTGAAATGCTATGAAGCAAAAATTGATATAAATAAATAAACAGCATGATTAAACTAGTGATATTCGTTCATCGAATTCTATCACTGATAAAATTCTAGAAGGGAAGTATTGTGGGATAACTACCACTATAAATATTAAATACCGAATCACTAGTATATTAAGACACGTTAGGTTGAATTTGAATACGAAGTTAAACGAAGGTTGACTTAAACAATCATTAAATTTCCCACAAACCTTAAATTTTTAATTTTCAACCACTTAAAATATTCTGGTGAGCTTAAACTTCCCGGTGGGCAATCATGATATGTAGTTTTTATCGTACTCAATTAACAAAAATCACAAGCATATGCACGTTAAATTATTCTCTAATGATAAATAATTCGTACCTGTGGCATCAAGGATTTCCTTTGCGGTAATCGTCTACCTTGAGGTCCTCTGGCTCGATCTTTGGTTGCATTGACTAAACATGTGGTGCTCGCTGCTTCAGTTGTCTCCTGTTGAACACAATCCATATCAACAACAAGGTTTAAAACAAATGTCTTAATTGAGTACTCTACCCAGCCCACGCTCTTGTTTAAACACGTGATGCATTTCTGATAAAAACCTCGGGTGGAATTAAAACTAATGGCTTATCATATAACGAGAATTGATAAGGAGATTTCTTTCTTTTTTTTATTTATTAAGTGAGCTTGTTTAAACATTCGATCATAACAATTCTTTTGATTTATATTTCATTTTTAAAAACTGAATATGACTTTGTTTCACTTTTAACAAATTTTTTTAAAAAGGAAACTTTTAACTCTTTTTCTGATAACTTTTTCTGAGATAATAGTGGCGGCTCGTGATTAAAAAAAATTTTTTTTTTTTTGCGTATAAAATATATGAGTTAACAAAAATTCTGAGAGCTTTCGATTTTTGTTTTCTACTAATTTATAAAATGTTTTATCAAAAAATATTTTATCTAAACATTTTACAAAGAAATGATAAAGTATCCGCAAAATCTTCTGAATAATCATTGATGAAAAAAAAGTATCGTATTTTCGTTTTATCGTATATTCATAGTAATTATTTCATAAAATATTTCGCACGTATTCGCGAATAAAATATTTATAAATATTTTATGAAATATTTGTAAAATATTTCGCAAATATTCGGCTTGCGATTTAAAAAAAAATTTGAAAATATTTGCATATAAAATGGATGAATTGCAAAAAATTCTGAGAGCTTTAAATTTTACTTATCTATTATTTCAGAGATACCAACTGCTCCGGATACGCCAAAATAATAAATAAATTATAAAAATAATAAAGCAATATTATAAAAAATAAATTAAAATAACGGTAAATAACAACAAATTAAATTTAGCAAATATTTTACTGTTCTTGCTTGCTTTTTAAGTGGTTAAGCATGACATAAGTATTATAAAGTGGTGAATCATATAAGCCAACGAATTATTTAGAAATAGTGGTGGATAAAAATCTACTAAATTGAATTTATTAAACCAAAAATCACAACTGATAAACCACCACTTTAAAATATAAGTTTGCTGTCCGGAGCAAGTTATTTTATAAAATATTTTACAAAAATGCAATTTTTTAAAAAAATATTTTAGATAAATATTTTACAAATATTTTATAAAATAATTTGTAAAATATTTCGTAAATATTCGGCTTGTAATTAAAAAGAAGGAAAATATTTTCATATAAAATATGTGAATTACTAAATATTATGAAAAATTTAGATTTTAGTTTGTTTTATAAAATATTTTACGAAACGACAATTTTTGTAAAAAATATTTTAAATAAATATGTTACAAATATTTTATAAAATATTTTTTAAAGCAGTTGACAACTCTGCATAGATCTTAAGTGAATACTTAATTTACAATGAAGTCAATAGTTAATTTTCATCATAATTTTTAATTTATGAAGAACTTACGCTTTGCTTCTTGTTAAATTAAAACCCTAACAGACTACTGGCCAGTATTTTTATTTTGCAATATATAAGAATTTAGTTAACTCTTTTGGTTATTCTGGAAGATTTTATTTTTATATTTATTGTGGTGGCAAAATTTATATCACATTTTACTCTTCATTAAATAAATACGGTTAAATTCATTCTCTGTCGATGTTGCATCTCATATGTCCAGCGTTTTTGAGCTCGTATGGTTGGTGTCGTTTGCCATGCGAAGAAGTTAATAAATATGTCATCAAAGTGTATTTTTTTAAGAAAAAACTTGGGTGCGTTTGCAGGGAAAACTGGAGATCAGTAGAAGGGACAACACATATTTAACCACTAATTGGTCAAGCAAAAAACTGCTTGCTGACAAAAATATTTTGTATTTTTGAATTTAGGACAGAACATATATTAATTTTCAGCAATAAAAAAATTGCTTTTCTGGCCAGAAATTCGGAAAAAAAATTCCGACAGAGAAGGGGCTTAAAATGATTTTGACTACAATAACATTTGAATAGTTTAAACGTATATGGGTCATTCTCACAAAAACAGTCATTTTCATGACCCCATATATTTTATGTTTGTTTTACAACTTACGAAAAAAAATTTTTCAGGGAAAGTGTCCTTCAGAATGCAGGCTAACAAAAGAATAAAAATAAAATTATCAATTTTTATTTTTTATTTATTTTAGGTAATTAAAATATACCAATATGTCATTCCCTCACTTGTCCCCACTGCTGATTTAAAAAAAGAAAAAAATTGTTTCTGAAATAAGAA